GCATAACAAATTCAATAGTTTCATACTGAATTGGCATTTGCCTTTCAAGAAAAACCAAGATATAGTCCTTCTTTGCATAAAGGATATAAGCATCGGGGATATTTCTCTTCACGAGAAAGCAGAAAGTATCTTGAAGTTATCACTGGAAAAACCATGCATTCGAACTGGCAGACTGATTAACTTCAGGAGAAAATTCTACTGTGTCAAGAGTTTGGCATGTCATTTGTTGGAAACCTTTTTTAGTGAAAACTACCCACACCTACCAGATGTGAATTCTGAACAGAATCCTGCATACTCAACTTCTCCCTTTGACCCTGTTTACAGACTGGGATTTCTAACAACAGCTCTCTTTGGAAATAAAACTGTTGCCAACCACGATAAACTTGTGGCTAAGAGACATTTTAAAGATACTTTTAAGATACAAGGCTTTTTCGCATTTTTTGTGTTCCAAACATAAATGTAATTTTATGAATAACACCATACCAACCACCAGGCAAACTAACTTTCCATTTCTTTTACATGAATTTTTTTTTCCAGAGGGTTGCTTTAAACAGAGTAAAAATTAGCAACAAAGTTTTAAAAAAAGTTTCTGCACTAAAAAAAAAAAAAATGTTAAGTCCCTAGGAGATAGAAATTATAATGTGCAGAATCTAGTATGTGCCAACACAATTATATTAGATGCTTCTTTGTATACACTGTCATTTAATCCTCCCATCTCTCAGAGGCAGGCACACTAATTTCCATCGTACAGATAAAGAAATTAAGCCTCAGGTTAAGTAACAGCTAGCTAGTTAGTAACATAGCTGGGATCTAAATCCATTAGTACCCCAAAGTGATTCTTTTCACAGCCTTTTAAAATTTCCTTTAAAATATATACAATCTCTTATACCCTTAAATTACAGTTCCAAATGACCACACTTGACCTTGTAAAAGTGTTTTTGAACATCAAGCATAACTTACTGAGCCAGGGAATCCCCAGCTCAGAGTGGGCTGTGATGTCAATCCCTGGTACATACAACTCAGTTCCCCTTTAGTCCCTAAAAACTGAACTTTCAGGCTCCTGTCTTGCCCCACAGCACCACCTAGTGACACCAAGGGGAGACACCAGATCCTCCCCAAACTTTTAGCCTAGGGCGATCACCGTGCTTAAACCCTGCAGGGGCAGACAACTAAGCTCACTTAGGACAGAGTTGTGGGGGAGGGGAAGGAAAAGGGTGGGTAAGTTCCTAGGCTATGGGTAGGTTGCACATTTCCTCCCTGAAGGCACGACTACAACCTGGACTTTAACCTTACAAAAGCAAACCATGGGGAGGAGCCTGTGTGTGGCTCAAAAGGGTAGGGCACTGGCCCCATGTGCCGGAGGTGGCGGGTTCAAACCCAGCCCTGGCCAAAAAAGCAAAACATGTAATCATCTAATCACAGGTACCCCCATATTAATCTGAGAAAAACAGAAAAGACACCAAGAAAATTCAGGACACTGTTTTGATGAGGGAGATGGGGGCATGGTAATTTCCAGATTTAACTACAATGGAAAGAATAAGGGGACTGGAATCACATTGATAGAGACTTCAGTTTGTAACAAGTGCCACCTTGAGCTCACCTGAGTTACTTTCATGTTCTGTTAAAAAGCCTAGATAGTAACTCTGTAGAAATGGTTGGAGGAGAATAATCCAGCATACCCACTTTTTTAAAATATGTATGTGTATATATATGAACCAAAATGTCTTGTTAAGTGGAACACTTAGTTTTGATGGGGATAAAGAAACATCAGAACATAGGGATTATATCTGTGGGGTCTACAGCCCACACTGAAAGATCTGAAAGAGTAAGTTGGGAAAGTGAGGCTTTCCTTGTAAGAGGGGTGGTTAGAAGAAATCCTACAGCAATTGCTTCTAGATGACTAGGCAATGAAAAAGGAAAAAAAAGGACATAGAACTCTTTCTGGAGCTGCAAAGCCTGGGAGGTTCCGGCCTGGGCAAAGACCTCATCCTCCTCTATCTCCTATGTGCTTCTCGGCTCCCTGCCCCCAATTCCCCTTAATAGGGATTTGAGCACCTCCTACCCTCGCCCCCCCCAAAAGGAAGAAGTCCTACAGCAAGGACAGTTAACAGAAGACACTATGGCTTTTATATGAAAGGGCCATGAGAGGAAGCTGTTAACTTTAGGAGACTTGACCAAGGCTTTGTTATAAGGGAAATAGGTGTCAGTGAAGACTTGAAAATGGAAAAAAAATAAATTTTAACAAACTTTTTCTTGGTTTAGAGACAGGGTCTTACTTTGTTGCCCAGGCTAGAGTAGTCAGCAGATGATAACTCACTATGACCTGGAATTCCTGGGCTCAAGCAATCAAGTGATCCTTCTAGTTTAGCCCCCCACTTAGCGGGAAAGACAGTCACACAGCACCATACCCAGCTAATTTTTTTTTCTTTTTTTTGTAGAGATTGGGTCTTGAACTCCTGGCCTCAAGCTTCTCCCTCCTCAGTTTCCCAAAGTGTGAGGATTTCAGACGTAAGCCACCACTCCTGGCCCCCTGAATACTATCTTATAAACAAAAAAAGAAAGTATTTATAAACATTTAGAGAACAAAGAAGTAAATATATTACCTCCAACATCTATAAAGTGTTTTGCAGCCAAGCCAGAACGTGGAGCTAAAAATCAAAAAAGAGGCAGTGGTTATTGTGGGGACAGACAATATAGTGGATATAACTAATGCATTTTAAGTCTGTTACTTTATTCTCCTACATCTACTGTCTTCAGTTTAACACTGGCAGATGGTTCTGAATTAAATAGCTTTATCATACTGGATTACCAAAATTGGAAAGACTAGTTTAGAGGAATTCAACAAGGTTCTAATTCAAAGTCAACTTCAACCACTCCCCCACAATTCAGTCAATTACGGATCTGTGGTGTTGCAGACACGACAGGACTGCTGGAATGAACTGAAAGGTGAATAAGGGACAGCTTCCTTCATGAAATGTGGCCACAGAGGGGAAGAAAGAGAAGAGAGGACTTTGGTTTTGAGATGTACAGTGTAGATGAGAACTAGGGAGAGAAGGGGAGGGGAATAAACCTAACCCAACAGTAGCAGAGCATAGCCTAGAATGAGACTCCTACTCATGCTTCAGATGCCAAAAGACGTGCCTGAATAAAACACATGAACAAGAGTAAGATAAATGGCCAGTCAGGTGTCAGAAACGTAGCCTCAAAAATTTAATTCCACTGTATTTTTCTCCTAAAGATGAAGGAAAAAAAAGCCAAATCTATACCTTCTACTTGCTGACTTAATAAGCATCAGGCCCATCGTTGATGATCCTAACTTCTAGTATGTCATTTTTAAATAATTTAAATCAGGCTCTTTGTCAACAAACGCTGCCTCATCCCGGCTTGGCTTATTTCACTCTATCTCCTGCCTCTCCCCAGCAGGCCCCCTGCCCTGCAAATTCTAAAACTACAGTCAGTGATGTCAAAAAGAGATGAGGAGAGAGCCTGTTTTGTTTTTCTCTCATGCTCAAGTATAGTAGTGCTAGTCTTGCTCCATTCCCTGGAGGAAGGGGTCACAGTTCCATTTGCCTCATTATGTTTACTTTGAAAAAAAGTTTTGAACTCTGTCTCTGGTAACAACTGACTCCTCCAAGAAGCCAAACCTGTTGACTTGCATTCCATTTTGTCCTAGTTGCTCTCAATGAGCCATTTCTTTCTAGAATACTGAAGAGTATCCTCTCACCCCATGGGAGGGTAACCTAGACAAAAGGCTAAAAGGCTGATATACTCTGGGGCCCTCCAGGGATCAGAAGTTTTACTCTCATGCTACATAATGCCTGTGTGCCGTTATCCTAAGCCCCACTCTCTTTTCTTATTCAACAAATATCAGCCACTCTCATCCACCTCTTCACAAAGAAATCTGACGTCATATGCAATCTAATCCTTAAAAGGGGAGATGGCATCAGTCTTGGGAAAAGCTTTAGTTAAAAATCACCTACGGGGTGGTGCCTGTGGCTCAAAGCAGTAGGGTGCTGGCCCCATATACCAGAGGTGGCAGGTTCAAACCTGGCCCAAGACAAAAACTGTAAAAAAAAAAAAAAAATCACCTACGTTTTCAGTTTTTCTCAGAGTGAGGTATTCTTTTTTTTTTTTGAGACAGGAGCCTCAAGCTATCCCCCTGGGTAAAGTGCCATGGCATCTCAGCTCACAGCAACCTCCAACTCCTAGGCTCAAGCGAGTCTCCTGCCTCAGCCTCCCAAGTAGCTGGGACCACAGGCGCCCACCACAACGCCCAGCTATTTTTTGGTTGCAGCTGTCGTCGTTTGGCGGGCCTGGGCTGGATTCGAACCCACCACCTTAGGTGTACATGGCTGGCGCCTTAGCCACTTGAGCCACAGGTGCCTAGCCACAGTGAGGTATTCTGAGAACAATCTCCTAGGTCAAAACAAACGACGGCTTTCAAATTGTTAGATAATTGCCTCAGAAAAGCCCCTCCCCCAGTTCCAATTACCCGCCCCTAACAGCTCTTCCCGCCAGAGCAGTAACTCCTTATTGGCTATCCCACCATCTAGTCACCATTCTGAGACTTCCTTAACTGAATCTATATTAAGAAACGCTTTTCTCTGGACCCTCCCTTTTTTTTTCTTTCTCTCTCCTCCTTCCTGCAGCCTCCCTCCCCCACCAATAAAGACCTTTCTACAAGCCTTGGTGGTCTGTGAGTTCTCTGACCGTAGAGTGCCACCCCTTTTCACAAATGGCTGTATTTGTCACTATAGAAAGTGCTTCTTGACACAGCCCAAGCAATATCCCTCCACTTATTACCTAAATGAAACTTAGATGAAAGAACATGCCACAGAAGGGAGTTACCTGTTTCTTGAATCACTTACCTACTCTTCCATAACACCCAGAAGGAAGAGCTATCTGAATGTCTGTCTTCACAATAGCTTTCTCCATAGGTGGTATTGTGTAATCATAGGCACTAAAAAGATATTTGTAAAAAAGGCGTATGAAATCACTTTTATTATTTTCTTTGTGATCAAGCATACAGAGCTGTTTAAAACATATTTCATAAAATAATTCCTGCAACCTTAGTTTCTATTATCAATCTTGCTATGACAAATTTCGAATTCATCTTTTAAAAAGTTTGTGAAGAAGTCAGAAGTAAATTCTTTTGGCGTATTAGTAAAATGATGACAGCTTTAGGTAAAATAATTCTGTGTGAATGTTTTTGGTGGAGGGAAGAGATATCGCTATGGTTAAAGTCTTTGCCCCTGCACAAAACTTTACTGGGAAGCAAAGGCAGACTTTTAAAAGGTGTATGCTTCACTTTATAGTATGAAGAAAGAGGAACACGAAGAGAGAACCTAGAAAAAAGAGGGCAAATAATAATTAGTAATAGGTAACATTAACTCCTCAGTATGTGCCAGGCACAGTTCTAACTGGTTTCCGTACATTTACTGAGCTTAAACAGTTCACTATAGGCTTAGAGAAAACCTACACAAGGACAGAAACTTCACATACTGCATGTAAAAAAAGAGCTTGTTGGTCTCTGTAACCTTTTCAGTGAATGTCTGTAGCTGTGGCAGCACATGGTCTGAATATTAGCTAACGTGCCCTCGAGCTCCAGAGCTCGGGGGTCGCGCCTTCTTTGCAGGAGCAGCAGTGGAGCTGGGGGAGGGCGCCCTGCTCAGCCTCCTCGCCGGGGCCGGCTACCCGAGGCGCGCGGGCGCTCCGAGGTGCCCACTCACCTGTACAGGTCGTAGCCTGCAGCCCGGGCGGACCCCCGGGACGGAGCCGTGGCGTGCTCCGAGAGCCGGGCAAAGCGGAGCTGGATGCTGCCCTTCTCCTCGGTTCGCGCCCGCTTGCTGGGGGACACCACGACTACCTCTTCCGAGCAGGGCATGGCAGAGAGAGGTGAGCACAGAAAGGGGAAAGAGGCAGCACAGGATAAGAGCCGCTGCAGCAACCAGCCAAGTAGATTTAAATTTCCCGCCAGCTCCTCCCCAATCTCCTTCTACCCTCCTGGACGAGTCCACAGTTTTGGCGGAGAGGGGAGGCGAGATTCAAATTTTGGGTTAAAAGACCTTCTCGGGAAACAGCTTTGGGATTGGAACTACGGGGCCTTACTAAAACCTGCAAATTCAACTCTTGGGTCCGAGTGGGGGTTCAGTTCCGGTGGTCTCGCTCACAGACAGTAGAAAGCTGCCCTAGCTCCCCCTGGTAGGGGACCCGCTTAAACTCGCCCGCGCGCGCGGAGGCGGGCGCGCCCTCCCCGCCCCCTCCGCCCGAAGCTACAGAGCTTTCTTTGTGGCGGCGAGAGTGCACGTTCCCGCTGCCCCCGGGCGGGGCGGGGACGGTGGGACCGGCTTGTAGCATCTCCGTGCCTTAGAAAGCTGGTGCCTTCCAGCCCGCACCCCGACCTCACTGGCTCCGCTGCAGCCTCGGGTCTGGCGGCGAGCGCTGGACAGCGTCCGGAGTAGCGCGCCTGGGCCGGGCTCGGAGAGGCCCGCGGCCCCGGCTCCCTGCCGGGCGCTGGCCGCGTTCTTAAACGCTGAGCAGAGAAGAGAAGGACGGAAATGGTGGCAGAGCGCGGGGCGAGGGTATAGGGGTATCATTTCCCCCAAGATCTGAGCTGGGTGGCTCTTCAGCGCCTCCGGACGCGCGCGATCCGGGCCAGCACCCTGAAGACGCGACCGCGGCACATGACCTCGGAAGCAGTAACCGCCACCATCTGGGGGCCCAGGGAGGCGGGGCGTCGGTCAGCCGGGGCTGGCGCAGGCCTGGCCTGGAGGGAATGCTGCCCCTCGGCGTCCCGAGTCCTGCAGCCGCCTTGGGGTGCCTGCCTGCAGCCCTCGCCTCGTTTTTTCCCTGGGGCGGCCATTTTCCGAGAGTGGGCGCCAGGCCCCCGCACCTGGGCTGACCTACCTGGGGCGGCACCGCCTGCGGCCATGACTCATCGGTTCCGATCTGTTTTCCCCAAAGCAACGGAAGCTTATCACCGGGCCGGCGACAGCCACCGCTGTGCCCAGTGTCGCTCCCTAGGCTGTGGGCAAGGCAGCGCGCTCCATTTCCTTGCAGCACCGCTAGTGCAATCCAACTGAAGAGCATATAATTACGTGCTCTTAAAGGGGGTTGGGGGAGGCATCGGGGTAACTGCAAAGACAAAGCAGTTAAAATCCTAGCGCTGAGGTTTGGGACGAGCACAACCGAAACACGGGGGGAACCCCATGGCTGGGATTCTCAGGAAGAGCCGGGGCCATGGTGGTGTAACTCTTAAGAGCGGAAATGGATCAGCGCCTGTGGCTCAAAGGAGTAGGGCTCTGGCCCCATATACCGGAGGTGGTGGGTTCAAACCCAGCGCCAGCCAAAACTGCAAAAAAAAAAAAAGCGGAGATGAAAATACGACTCTAGAGATGATTGTAAATTGATTTTTTTCTGGGATGCAAGTAGCTTCATTTCCGGGTCTGACCAAAAAAAACCAGGAAACCGTATTTTTTTTGCGACAGAGCCTCAAGCTGTCCCCCTGGGTAGAGTGCCGTGGCATCACAGCTCACAGCAACCTCCAACTCCTGGGCTCAAGCGAGTCTCCTGCCTCAGCCTCCCAAGTAGCTGGGACCACAGGCGTCCGCCAAGCCCGGCTATTTTTTGGTGCAGCTGTCATTGTTGTTTGGCGGGCCTGGGATTCGAACCCGCCACCTTAGGTGTATGTGGCTGGCACCTTAGCCACTTGAGCCACAGGCGCCAAGCCAGGGAACTGTTTTGAAAGCACTTTAATTTTCATAATCAATAGAAGCTGTAGGGCAGTTTTAAAAGAAACGATAGTTAAAAATGTTAAGGAATTACTGGTAAAATTTTCAGACTTCCTTGCTTTGCCTTTCCTCAGGGACTGGCTCCTCCTCTTGAGTGTTGGAATTCCTCTGGATGAGGTTATGGGCTACTCACTTTGTTGCCTTGATTTTAAATATTACCTGTCCTACGCCTAGGACTCCCAAATTAATGCCTGTAGCACTATGGCGTGGGTCCTGCTACTACTTTTCCAGCCTCCTCTTGATTCATCCTCATCCCACTTTGGAGTTTCTGGCCACGTGGCTTTCTAATAGTTTGTAGGCCCACCAGACTCTCTCCTTCCTCGGTCTTTGCTTCATGTCGTTCAAATCTATTCATCTCAGAGACGCCTTCCACCAACAAACTGAAGAATCAGCCTTGTCTGCCCTAACCACTATTCTCTGTCTCAGTAATTAGTTTTTTTCTACTCACTACTTATTACTACAATCTTTACTTCTTTGTTATTTTCTTGTTCATTGTCTGCTGTAGGTAACAAGCTCTGTGAGGGCAGGGACCTCATGTCTTTACTTACCTTTGCATTCCTAGTGTGCTTTAGTGCTTGGTTCGGAATGGTTCAAGATAAATATTTGTTAATGAATGAATGCTAGTGATGTCTATTTACCTTTGTTTTCCTGGTGCCTGGTTTAGTGCTTGGTTCCAAGCGGTTCGTGACAAATATTTATTATATGAATGAATGCTAGTGATCTCACTGTCTAGCTCATCAGACCCTTGTCACCATTTCTTGAAGTTTTTTTATTTGCCCACTCCTTTAATTTTTAAGCAAAGGTTTTCTCCGCATAATGCTTGTTCAAAGTTAACAAACAACCCATCTCCAAGTCTCACTCCTTAGGGGCAAAACTTCCAACTTTTTTTGGCTCTTCCTACTGAAAGATACCTCCCCGTTTCTAGATAGTATGTTGTAATTTTTTTTTGATGGACTAGAAATTACCTCAGGGTAGTTGAGGATGTAAGTCTCCCATCAATAGTTAGTTCTAACAATGTTTGGATACGTCAGCAGTTCCTAATTACTTTATCATGACTAAGTAAATACTATTCACTGCTGATAGGATTTTTTCTTTTCTTACACCTGTCCCTATCAAGTTAGTAATTGTCTTGTTTTTCCATTTGTTTTTGTTGGTGGTATATTTACTTCACCTATTGCTTATTTTTTCCCCCAAATGCTATAGTGGATCTGATATCTCAAGCATATGTCACATTGAATGAAACGGAAACCAAATCTCCATCAGTTCTATTTTTTCCCTAGAGTCTCCCTCCTTCCTTCCTCAGTTCTCCTGCTCCAGCCGGTGTTAGTGATTCTCTAGTCATAGGATTTCCTCCCCCTCTTGTGTTTGAATCCTGGTTTTAAGTTCTAGAATCTTCATCTTAGTGTTCTCCCTTATTTTGCTAAAGTATTTTCTCTAGTGATTTCGTAAAAATTTTTAGAGTCCCTTCTTCCTAAAGTGTAATGATTGTAATGAATTACTTTTTCATAGACCCAGACCCACTTCATTCCTGAACTTCCTTTCAATCAGTAGTGACCTGTGCCCCATCTTATCTCTTATAACACTTACCATATCATTCATTACTCATTTAGCCATATACACCCATAGTGTAATCTCATGTATATATGTATTTTATCTTTCATGTTAAAAAGAGTCATAAACTTTTATGAATTCTTCAAAGCACCTACTTCAGTATTTTACACAGAAGTTATTTCTTTGGTTCATTAGAATGAGGTATTGTATTTTTTTCTGTTAATCTGGTTAAAGTATATATTATTGTCACTTTTCATCTGAGGTTATTTTAGACTGAGAAGTTAAACAGCCATAATCCAACTGGAAAAGAGTAAGTGGTTAAGATTCTGAGCCAGTAAGTATTTAATAGGACATTGTTTATGACAACGGAAACAACATTGTGAACATACACTTTAAATTCAAAATGCTGCAGTTAAGAACTAGACATGTTTCAACCACAGTTTATTTGGTGCTGTTGCCTTTATCAGGATGTAGTTAATATATCAGTCATGCTGATTAATTCAGTTACATAAGTCTAGTGCCAATCTGAAACTTCTGAAAATTCAAGTTGATACTTTATTTATTTATTTGTTTATTTGTTTATTTTGAGATGGAGCCTCAAACTATCCCCCTGGGTAGAGTGCCATGGCCATCACGCTCACAGCAACCTCCAACTCCTGGGCTCAAGCGAGTCTCCTGCCTCAGCCTCCCAAGTAGCTGGGACTACAGGCGCCCGCCACACCCGTCGCCATTTTTTGGTTGCAGCCATCATTGTTGTTTGGCGGGCCCAGGCTGGGGATTTGAACCCACCACCTTAGGTGTATGTGGCTGGCGCCTTAGCCGCTTGAGCCACAGGTGCCGAGCCAAGTTGATACTTTATAAGCAAAGTTGTCTTTCCTACCTTTGCCATTATAGCAGTTTCTCTCTCAATAAAAACACACGTGGCAATTACTTTATACCAGATGTATTCTAAAGGCTTTAAAAATATTAGTTCATTTAATCACAACAACTGAGGAAACATTATCCCCGTTTTACACGTAAAGAAACTGAAGCATAGTACATAGCTCATAACTAGAAAGAGGTTATGTCATGATTCAATGTCAGTCTGGTTTCAAAGTCCTTGCACTTAGCCACTGTGCTCTGTAGGTTTACATCTGTCCTATTGAGTCTGTGGTAGCTCTTAAATACTGAATTTTGGGGTTCTAGCATCAAAATTTAGAAGTGGTCCTTGGTTTCAAGCCAGATGTTTTTACATCACAGACGTAGAGCAAAGCACCAGGGTCAGACTCCCTAGGTGAGAAGTATGCCAGCCTTTTGTAAAAGAGCAATTGCAATAGGGGAGGTGGGAAGCAGTAGTACACAGGCAGATCAATTTCAGTAAAAAATACATACGTATGTTGACTAAATCCATTGTTTGAAAATTTTTGTCCAAAATACCATCAGGAAACCTGGAATGTATTTATATTCCAAGTGTATATGGCTAAATCTGAAAATACTGAACTAGTGTATACCTTGTAAAACCCCATGTATGTTCCTGCCAGGTTCTTGGGAAGAATACAAGGATAAGATAAATATTTGTAGACTTCTGATTTTATAAGACCAGCACAGGGATCTTAACACACAAGTAGCTTAGTTGAATGGCAGTTAAATAAACAAGGAACTAGCAGAAAATCAAAACAAGCATTTATTTTTACAAAATTACTTTGGACTAACAAATTACTGCCTCAATGTATTACAAAGGTACAAGGGAATCAGAACACTTAACCCTCCTTGCACTCTGGGAGGCTGAGGCAGGTGAATCGCTTGAGCTCAGGAGTTCAAGACCAGCCTAAGCAAGAGTGAGACCCTGTCTCTAGTAAAAATAGAAAAACTAGCCAGGCATTGTGATGGATGTATGTAGTCCCAGCTGCTTGGGAGACTGAGGCAGGAAAATAACTTGAGCTTAGGAGTTTCCAGTTGCTGGGGCTATAACGCTGCAGCACTCTACACAGGGCAACAGAGTGAGAATTTGTCTCAATAAATAAATAAATAAATAAATGAAATCACTTAACACACAAACTCAGAACTGCAGCTCTCTCCAATTCAGTGCATACCCAATGTCTCTTAACTAACATAATCATCATGGAAAGCTGACTCTGAATTATCCCAGTGTGTATATAAATACCAGGAAAGAAAATTTCTGTAATTACAGTCCAGGGAAGGACTCTTATTATTTTCTGTTTGCATCACTGACTTTTCAGGAAGTAAAGAAAGTAAAGGCAGAGGGCTTAAGAGCCAGCGTCTGCAGGAGAATCATCTAGAGAGCCTCATTCAACACGTGTGCCCAAAACTTGCTACAGATTGACTACTCCAAATCTCTAGGGTGATCTG